ACCAGGATGGTCTCGATCTCTTGACCTCGTGATCCACCCGCCTCAGCCTCCCAAAGTGCTGGGATTACAGGCTTGAGCCACCGCGCCCGGCCTAATTTTGTATTTTTAGTAGAGATGGTATTTCACCATGTTGGTCAGGCTGGACTCAAACTCCTTACCTCAAGTGATCCACCTGGCTTGGCCTCCCAAAGTGCTGGGATTACAGGCGTGAGCCACTGTGTCCAGTCACATTAGCATTTTAAAAGAGGACAGGCCAGTTATTTTGTATAAGGAAGGACCCTCCGGCAGGGCTTGGCACAGAAGTGCTCCCGGTATTAAGAAGCTGCTGGGTTCCAGGCTCTTCCTGTACATGACCACATTCATCTCTTCAACAACTCTTTGAGGGACTAGTGACATGATTACTTTTGCACAGGAGGAAACAGACTCATAGAGGTTAAGAGGCTTGCCTGAGGGGGCTCAGCCCCAGAGGTGGCTCCAAGCTTTATTCCAGAGGCCATTTTCTTAACCACATGGCCATTGTGCCTTGGGGAAGTTTCCCGTCTTACTTACAGTTTTTTGGTGTTTTGTTTTTGTTTTGAGAACCAGGCTGAGTGCAGTGGCTCCATCACAGCTCACTGCAACCTTGACCTCCCAGGCTCAAGTGATCCTCTCAGCTCAGCCACCTGAATAGCTGGGACCACAGGCGTACCACCACATCTGGCTAATTTTTGTTTTTGGTAGAGATGAACCTCACTCTGTCATCCAGGCTGGAGTGCTGTGATGGGAACAAGACTTACTGCAGTCTTGAACTTCTGGGCGCAAGCCATCATCTCACCTCAGCCTCCCAAAGTGCTGGGACTACAGGTGTGAATCGTGCCCACACAGGTGGTGGTGTTGTTTGAGACAGAGTTTCACTCTTGTTGCCCAGGCTGGAGTGCAATGACGTGATCTCGGCTCACTGCAACCTCCGCCTCCCGGGATTAAGTAATTCTCCTGCCTCAGCCTCCTGAGTAGCTGGAACTACAGGCATCACCACGCCCGGCTAATTTTGTATTTTTAGTAGAGACAGGGTTTCTCCATGTTGGTCAGGCTGGTCTCAAACTCCCAACCTCTGGTAATCCACCTGCCTTAGCCTCCCAAATTGCTGGGATTACAGACATGAGCCACTGTGCCCAGCCTGTTTGTTTGTTTGTTTGTTTGTTTGTTTTTAGAGACAGCGTTTCACCATATTGGTCAGGCCGGTCTTGAACTCTGAACCTCAGGTGATCCGCCTGCCTCGGCCTCCCAAAGTGCTGGGATTACAGGCATGAGCCATTGCACCTGGCCCTGTTTTTGTTTTGTTTTGTTTTAACTTCTGGAATTCTGAGGTCAGCAAAGTGTTTTCAAGGTCCTCAGCTATCTCCTACCTATCATAGCGCCCCCTTCCCCACCATGTACCCGTAGAGATAAGAAAGTTGACCTTTATACTTTCCCCAGGCTACAAGAAAGAAGGGGGCAATTAGTCTTCAGCACAGTGGAAAGATTGCCAGCAAATGGGCACAGAGGATTGTAGGATGAAAGTTCACGATTGAGTCTAGAAATCACTGCCTCCTAAATTAAGTCCCCGTCTAGGCCGGCGCAGAGATGGACTAGGAAAGTCTTCCCTGTTCTGGCCTCTGGAGTTACCTGGTTTCTCCTCTTGTTTCCTGTACCTGCCCAAAGCTACAGCCAGAGGCAGAGCATCTTTTTTTTTTTGCAACAGAGTCTAGCTCCGTCACCCAAGCTGGAGTGCAGTGGAGTGATCTCAGCTCACTGTAACCTCCACCTTCCAGGTTCAAGTGATTATCCTGCCTCAGCCTCCCAAGTAGTTGGGAAACAGGTGCCTGCCACCATGCCTAGCTAAGTTTTGTATTTTTAGTAGAGACAGCGTTTGACTGTGTTGGGCAGACTGGTCTTGAACTCCTGACCTCATATTCTGCCTGTCTCAGCCTCCCAAAGTGCTGGGATTACAAGTATGAGCCACCACGCCTAGCCTCAGAGCTTCCTTTCACAAGGTCTGCTCACTCTCCTCCAGGAAGTCCTCTTGGCTTAAGGCCCAACCACCTCTCTCTGCTCTCTCAGTATTTCCCCAGCTTCTGCCTGGGCCTCCAACTCCCAGGCCACTCTCCTTGCTACAACCAGCAGCCAGCCCATTCTTCCCCAGGCTTTGGGTTATTTATTGTGATGCTTGTGATCCTCCATTTTTTTTTTTTTTTCTGTTTTTGATACAGAGGCTCACTGTGTCACTCAGGCTGGAGTGCAATAGCAAAATCTTTGCTCACTGCAGCCTCAAACTTCTGGGTTCAAGGACTCCTCCTGCCTCACCTTCCTGAGTACCTGGGACTATAGGTGTGTGCTACCACACCTGGCTAATGTTTTTTTCCCCCAGTCCCTTCCCCAATAATTTTTTAAATAAACTTTTTTTTTTTTTAGATGCAGAGTCTTGCTATATTGTCCAGGCTGGTCTCAAACTCCTGTGTTCAAGCAATGCTCCTGCCTCAGCCTCCCATAGTGTTAGGATTATAGGCATGAGCCATTGCACCGACCTGTGTTAGCTATTGAATTCATTCATTTATTCATTCAACAAGTAGCCACTGAAGACCTACATGAAAGCACTATGCTGAGTGCTAGAGTCAGCAGGGAACAAGACAAAGTCCTTGCCTCTTGTCCTCATGAGAGAAAGACAATTAAGAAGCAGATGGTAAATAAACAGGGTATAGCTAGTGCTCGACTTACGACCACGATTGGGACCAGCAGATCGGTCGTAACACGATTTGGTCGTAAGTTGAGTAGGCTATATGTACAGTTGAAATGGTGCACGCGGAGATGGTAGTGCTGCGGGAAGCTGGTCCGCACTGTCGTACGCCCAGCTGGGCAACGTTTGCGCTGCCAGACGCGGAGCAGTTGTGGCTAGCGATTGTGGTCGTAAAGTCGAATGGTCGTAAGTTGCATAGGTCGTAAGTCGATCAATACCTGTAATTGTAGGTTTTGGTAAGTGCAATGAAGGAAATAAACCAGGAAGTTAAGATAGAGAATAACTGGGAGCTATCAACTTTCAGATTACTCTGGGCTGGGCACAGTGGCTCACGCCTGTAATCCCAGCACTTTGGGAGGCTGAGGTGGGAGGATCACTTGAGTCCAGGAGTTCAAGATGAGCCTGAGCGACACAGTGAGACCCCATCTCTACAAAGAATTAAAAAATTAGCTGAGTGTTATGGCATGCACCTATAGTCCCAGCTACTCAGGAGGCTGAGGTGGTGGGATCGCTTGAGCCCAGAGATTTGAGGCTGCTATGAGCTATGATCACACCACTGCACTACACTCCAGCCTGGGTGACAGAGTGAGATCCTGTCTTTCAAAAAATATGGGACCTCTGTGAACATTAATTGAGAAGACGCGGGACCATCCTGGAGCCACGTCTAGGGTGGGGCTAACAGTGAGGCTGTGCCTGGATCTCGACCCTTCTTGGCTGGGAGCAACTGGCGGAACAGCATGCACCACACCTGCTACTGTCTCCCCAGACTCCGTGGCTCAGCTGTGAGCTGTGAGGGCTCCCTGGATTCTTGGATTTTCTCCGCATTGTCACTGCTCAAGTAGCTGGCCTTGCTGCTGGCAGAGAACAGACAGGGGATGAGGCACTGATATTTGAGGAGGTAAATTTAAGCAGCAGGTTTACAATATGTTTTATGAGCTTGGCAGGTGTAGCTGAAGTGGGTGTTATCAGTAAACAGAGCAGTGCCATTGATCTCACTGGACAAATAGCCTTGAGGGGTTTATAAAGCCTTGGAAGGCCGGGCGCGGTGGCTCACGCCTGTAATCCCAGCACTTTGGGAGGCCGAGGCGGGTGGATCACGAGGTCAAGAGATCAAGACCATCCTGGTCAACACGGTGAAACCCCGTCTCTACTAAAACTACAAAAAATTAGCTGGGCATGGTGGCACGTGCCTGTAATCCCAGCTACTCAGGAGGCTGAGGCAGGAGAATTGCCTGAACCCAGGAGGCGGAGGTTGCAGTGAGCCGAGATCGCGCCATTGCACTCCAGCCTGGGTAACATGAGTGAAACTCCGCCTCAAAAAAAAAAAAAAAAAAAAAAATGCCTTGGAATGTTCCCATCAAGTCTCCATTTGGAGCCTACATGGTGCAGTATGCTGGATCTGGGGTCGAAAGACCTGCCACTCAGCCGGGCGAGTGGTTCACACCTATAATCCCAGCACTTTGGGAGGCCGAGGCAGGAGGATCCCTTGAGCCCCGGAGTTTGAGACCAGACTGGGCAACATCGTGAGATCCAGTCTCTGTAAAAAAATAAGTTATCTGGGCTTGGTAGCACATGCCTATAATCCCAGCTATTAGAGAGGCTGAGGTGGGAGGATCACTTGAGCCTGGGATGTCAACACTACAGTGAGCTGTGATTGTGCCACTGTACTCCAGCCTGGGTGACAGAGCGAGACCCTGTCTCAGAAGAAAATCAAAAAGATCTTTCTCTCATTAACCATATGACTACGGCCACATTAATTAATGGAGCCCACTGTTTCCTTTATCAGCTGTTTCCCAAGCCCCTCAAGGTTGTGTTGGGACTTGGGAAATGCAAGAAAAGGCAACAATAGACCAAGCATGGTGGCTCATCCCTGTAATCCTAGCACTTTGGGAGGCTGAGGCAGGTAGACCACTTGGGGTCAGGAGTTCAAGACCAGCCTGGCCAACACGGTGAAATCCCATCTTTACTAAATATACAAAAATGAGCCAGGCATGGCAGCATGCACATGTAGTCCCAGCTATTTGGGAGGCTGAGGCAGGAGAATCACTTGAACTCAGGAGGCAGAGGTTGCAGTGAGCAGAGATCACGCCATTCCACTCCAGCCTGGGCAAAAACAGCGAAAATCCATCTCAAAACAAAAACAAAACAAAAAAAAAAAAAAAAAAAGAAAAGGAAATGTGACAATGGCCAGGAGAAGCTTTGTAGATGATGAAGCAGACCATTTATCCATGGATAGATGGGCCACCGTTTATCCAGGTGGCTTGTCTGCCACAGGGCTGTGTGCCACCAGGACTGGTTTGGGCAGAGCCTGTTTCTGTGGGTAGAGGCAGGGCTGATGTGAGAAGTGAAATGGTGCTGTAAGTGATGAAGTGCTGAGCTTCTGTGAGAAGATGGTGATGATGATGGTGGTGATGGGTGGAACGTCGCCATGTGGGTTCTAGAGTCAGAGGCTGGGTGATTTCTGGCAAGTTGTTTAACCTCTCTGAGCCTCTGAGGATAAAAGCAATATTGGTCTGATGAATAGGATTACATGCGGTGTATTGAGTTGAATAGTGTTCCCCCAGGCTGGACGCAGTGGCTCACACCTATAATCCCAGCTCTTTGGGAGGCCGAGGCGAGTGGATCACCTGAGATTGGGAGTTCGAGACCACTTTGACCAACATGGAGAAACTCCGTCTCTAAAAAATAAAAATAAAAAGAATAGTGTTCCCCCCAAATTTACATCCATGTGGAACCCTGAGAATACGACCTTATTTGGAACTAAGGCCTTTGCAGATATGTGCGGTGGTCATACTGAATTAGCGTCGGCCTTAAATCCAATATGACTGGTGTCTTTCTAAGAAGAGGGAGATTTGGACACAGAGACATAGACACACAGAGAAAACACCATGTGCAGACGGAAACAGAGATTGAGGTGACCTGCCCATAAGTCAAGGTGCACCGAAGATCACCTGCTTCCATCCTTGAGTTTGGGTTTCTGGCCTCTAGATCTATGAGAGAATATGTTTGTTTTTCTTTTTTTCTCTCTTCCCCTCCCCTTCTCTCTCTCTCTCCCCCCCCACCCCTTTCTTTCTTCTTTTTTTTCTTATTTTTGAGACAGAGTCTCTATCACCCAGGCTCGAGTGCTATGGTGTGATCTCAGTTCATTGCAACCTCTGCCTCCCAGGTTCAAGCAATTCTCGTGCCTCAGCCTCCTGAGTAGCTGGGATTACATGCTGCCACCACTACGCCTGGCTAACTTTTGTATTTTTAGTAGAGATGGGGTTTGCCATGTTGGCCAGGCTGGTCTTGAACTTCTAACCTCAGGTGATCCACCTGCCTCAGCCTCCCAAAGTTCTGTGATTAGAGGTGTGAGCCACCTCACCTGGCTGGGAGAATACATTTCTGTTGTTTTAAGCCATACAATTTGTGGCAATTTGCTACGGCAGCCCCAGGAAATGAACGCGTGTGATCATTCAGAAAAAGCGATCCATGCCACCCAGCGTGTAGTGAGCGAGAAAGGTTGGCTGCGATCATTATTGCTATCATCCTTAGTATCATGGCTCAAGGTCGGTAGTGACCGCCACAGATTAGGTCAAAGGGAGACCCCTCCCACCTCCCTGGCCTCAAGTCTTGATGGGAGTCGGGAGGGATGGATTCCCTGGTCGTGGTTTCCCGTGAGCTCCTGCATGGAAGGGTGGCTGTCCTTTGTGGCAGCGGCTGACTTCCACGCATCCCTGAGGAGAGGGTTCTGCTGAGGTTGGTGGGGGTGCCCTCCTCGAGTCCTGCTTGTGGGGTGGGGTGGAGGGGCCTGGTGTGGCAGCTGCTCAGGGCTGATTTCTGGAGCACAGCTCAGCAGATGCCTCAGGAACCTGTCTGGCAACAACATTCCTCCGACACTCAGAGTAGCCAGCTGTCACTCACAGCCTGCTGTGGTTTTGTAAGGCGCAGACAAGGACTGTCAGCTGCTTCCCAGCGAGGCCGTGAGTCACTTTGGCAGCTCTGAGCCCAGAGTTTCCCCTGTGGCGGCCAAAACCCTTGCCTCTCAGCCCAGCTTCTGTCCTGCGATCAAATGTGGGTCTTCTGAGGCCTTCCTTGAGAGGAAGCAGGAGGGGCATCCCCAGGGTCCTGAAGACACAGGAGGACAGATCTGACTGCATTCCCTACTTCCTCAGGCCTGGCCCTGATTCTGGGTTCGGGGCAAGGAGTGTCATGGTTTAGGCTGATACTTTTCAGGCCTCGGTTTTCTCACCTGTGCTTGGGGATGTTGTGAGAACTTGAACTCTTAGAAGTGGGAGCGCTCTCCTCCTCCTTTCCCCAGCATCTCAGTAGCCGGTCAAATGGTTCAGAGCCGCTGGTAAGACGACTTGACCACATCCTTGCCTGTGGGTACCTGGACGGCCACTAACATCCAGAGACCTCAGCCGGGCACGGTGGCTCACACCTGTAATCCCAGCACTTTGGGAGGCTGAGGCAGGCGGATCACAAGGTCAAGAGATGGAGACCATCCTGGCCAACATGGTGAAACCTCATCTCTACTAAAGATATATTAAAAAAAAAAAAATTAGCTGAGTGTGGTGGCACGTGCCTGCAGTCCCAGCTACTCAGGAGGCTGAGGCAGGAGAATCATTTGAACCAGAAGCCGGAGGTTGCAATGAGCTGAGATTGTGCCATTGCACTCCAGTCTGGGAGACACAGCGAGACTCTGTCCCCCCACAAAAAAAAAAATTGGACAAATCAGTAAAACTTTGGCCTGAAAAAACAAAAACAAAAACAAACAAACAAACAAAAGGAGGCCTCAGGAGGAAAAGGGACAGGACTCCTGAAGCCCCTCACCCCAGGAGAAGTTCAAGAATGTGAAAGCCTGTTTGCAGCAGGGGTGACCCAGCTGAGATGATCCTCAAACAGACACCGGGGCTTCCAGGCAGCACTCACCACAAGGCACAGACTTCACCCAGGCACCAAGCTCTGCATGTGTGCCTGAGGTGGGGGAGTGGCAGGAAGGGAGTCTGGGGGTGTTTGGGGGTATGTGGAGTGAGTCAGAAGAACCTGGTGATCCCACGGACCCAGGCCACTTGGCCGCGGTATAAGCCATGGCTGGGTGCAGTTGGGGGAGCAGACAGACATTTGCTTCCCTTCTCCCAGGCCCCACGTGGAGTGTTTAGCAGGAATACCCACTTCACTTTTATTTTTGTTTATTTTATTTTATTTTTTGAGATAGGGTCTTGCTCTGTTGTCCAGGCTGGAGTACAGTGGTGCGATCTCGGCTCACTGCAACCTCCGCCTCCTGGGTTCAAGCAATTCGCCTCTCTTAGCCTCCTGAGTAGCTGGGACTAGAGGTGCACGCCACCGTGCCTGGCTAATTTTTTATTTTTAGTAGAGATTGGGTTTCACCATGTTGACCAGGCTGGTCTCGGACTCCTGACCTCAGGTGATCTGCCCTCCTTGGCCTCCCAAAGTGTTGGGATTACAGGTGTGAGCCACTGTGCCCAGCCAACTGTTTTTGGAGCCTCCGTTTCCAACAGCAGGTGCAGCAGCCACGTGTGGGCACCCCCAGCCTTCCTGGTGAGGGGGGCTCAAGCATCCATGCTGGTCTTGGGGGGCATCCTGGTAGAAGAGTCAGGCCAGGTGCTGATGTGGTCCCAGCTCAGCCACGTTGGGGGTGATGGGCAGAGAACCTTGTAAGCAGCCCTGGGGCTTCTGGGAAATGCTTGGAGGGGATCCTAGAAAACACAGGCTGGGGGTAGGCTGTTGATCTTGAAGCACAGAGATGTACCCGTGGCTGTGAGCTAACGGAAGCAACCCCGAGCTACTGTGGTCACAAATGTGCACGATACTGCCTCCAGCCAGCCTCCCGGGACCCCCATAGCCTTGGGCATGATTTATCCAGGTGGCTTGTTTGCCACCGGGCTCTGTGCATTGCAGGACAGGTTTGGGCAGAGTCTGTTTCTGTGGGTAGAGGCAGGGCTGATGTGAGAAGTGAAAGGAGGCCACCCCAAGTCTCCAGCCACAACAGACTGCCAGCATCAGCCTCCAAAGATAGTATCACCCCAGCCAGGACAGGGCCAGGCCTGCGTGTTCTACAGCATGCGCAGCGCTGTGTTTCGGAAACTCCTTCCTATCCAAGGCTGGTTCCATTTCCAGCCATACTTGAATTTTGCTGAATTTGACTGTCTGCTGTGCACTAGGCTTTGCAGAGGACAAAAGAATGGCAATAATAGGCCAGGAAGGGCGGCTCACATCTCTCATCATAGCACTTTGGGAGGCCGAGGTGGGTGGACTGCTTGAGCTCAGGAGTTCAAGACCAGCCTGGGCAACATGGTGAAACCCCATCTCTACTAAAATACAAAATATTGGGTGTGTTTGTGTGTGCCTATAGTCCCAGCTACTTGGGAGGCTGAGGCATGAGAATTGCTTGAATTTCTTGGACCTGGAAGGCAGAGATTGCAGTGAGCTGGGATCACACCACTGCACTCCAGCCTGGGTAACAGAGCGTCTGTCTCAAAAAAACAACAACAACAACAACAAAAAACCAAAACACAAAAATGAATAATGATAATGGTGGTAGTCCTAATGATAGTGATAGTTTCTTCATCTGTAACATGGGATAATTATAGTACCCACTCATAGGTGCTGTAAGGATCAAATGGGATAGTACATTTAGAGTACTTAGCACATAGTACATGGCACATAGTACGTGCTCAATAAATATTACCTGTTAATGAGGACACTGAGGCTCAGAGAGGTTAAGTGCCTTACCCACAGTCACACAGCATGGGAATCTGAATCAGGGACCGCCAATCTAATGGAGGAGACTGACAGTCCCCCACAGTTGTGAATCCAGTGCTAGGTGAGCTAAAGGAAGGGGAGGTGGTCCTGGGGGACTTCTGACTAGGTGGTATCAGGAAGGCTCCATGGAGGGGGTGTTACTTCCATTGGGCCTCACAGGTAAATGGACTGTCATCATGGAGGTTGCTGCAGGTGGAGATGTGGGGGTGGGGGCGGAGCATATGGAAAACTCAAGGACCAGAAAGAGGGTACCTTGTGGGGGTCAGTGGGAGTGAAGGCTGGACAGGATGGCTGCAGGCAGATGGTGAAGAGCCCTGAATGCGTGCTGGGGAATGAGCCACAGTGACTAGGACCCCACGGACTGTGCCCTTGAGAGGCAGTATGGTGCAGTGATTCAAGGTCTGGACTCAGTAGCCAGCCTGCCCCAGTCAAATCTATAGCATGGGGACAGTAGCAATGTGTACAGGAAGAAGAAGCAAGAGTGAGAGTACCGCCCCCACCCAGTGCCAGGGTAGATCCTTTCACCTCTGCCTACCTGTCTTCCAGGGACTGCATGGCTTTTACACCCAGGAGAGAGAGCATGAGGTTCCATCTTCAGGCTGTGACTCTGGAGATGCCTTGAGTCTCCCGAGGCCCTAGGTCTCTTCCCCTGAAGGCATGTGCTGCAGAGGCTGTGGGGATGCCATGCCCACCTGTGTGAGTGGTGCTCAGCTGCAGGGAGTTGCTGGACACACATAGGTTACCAGGGGGGAGGTCTGCTTGAGGGCACAGGAAATCCTAATTATGGTCATGCAGGCAATCGGCAGGCATGCCGGTTTGACCCCAGGGCTGGGATTCTCAGAAGCTGGTTAGAGTCTCCATTTGTTCACTTAAGACAGGGCCATGGGTGCCATTTGCCCCAGGAGGTGGATGTGAAGAGCACAGGACTTCATGGACAGGGAGGCGTGGAGGGGGTGGAGTGGCAGGGCACTACTTTCTGGGTTACTGGAGATATTGACAGGAACATTGTGCCTCCAATCTAAGACCCTCTGGATTCTCCTTTTTTTTTTTTGAGCTGGAGTCTCGCTTGGATTACAGGTGTGAAGCACTGTGCCTGCACTTTTTTCTTTTCTTTTCTTTTCTTTTCTTTTTTCTGAGACAAGGTCTTGTCCAGGCTGGAGTGCAATGGCACAATCCCGGCTTACTGCAACTTCCCCTTCCCGGGTTCAAGTGATTCTCCTGCCTCAGCCTCCTGAACAGCTGGGATCACAGGTGTGCGTCACTATGCTGGGCTAATTTTTGTATTTTTAGTAGAGACGGGGTTTCGCCATGTTGAGCAGGCTGGTCTTGAACTCTTGACCTCAGGCGATCCACCCACCTCGGTCTCCCAAAGTGCTGGGATTACAGGCGTGAGGCACTGCGCCCAGCCAGGTTCTCCATTTTCAACAGTAAGTTGCCCAAACAGTGCAGGTGGAATGAGCTCCTGCCTCTTATTGGCCAGTTTAGCCCTCATGGTGGTCCCTTGCACCTGTGCCCCTGGCTCAGGGTTAAGTCTGGGCTGGGGTTACCTCTTAGGCGGCTGATCTGCCTGTGTCCCACGATTGCCAAGCACACATGGCTGGACCAGTTGGTGGGGGCCCCTCAGGAGCAACCAGTATTCCTTACTCACACTTTCTGGAGTATTAAGATGTTTCCAGGTAACTGAGCGCGCCCCAGCCAGCCCAGTGTTCAGTGTTTCCAGTCCAGGCTTTGTTTCCAGGCCCTCCCCGTCTGAGCAACACCTCACCCTGACTCAGGGTTTCTTCCGCTCCATCTCCAATAGTTTTCTTGCCACCCTCCCCGCATTCCTCCAGGTCCACACACACCTGCCCTTTGATTCGTGGCTCTTTCCGCTCTGAGGAGGGCGAGCACCAGAGGCCAGGGCTCCCATCACCCTCAATCAGCAGCTGGGGCCACTGCCTGCCACTGGTGTCTTCACACACACCTTTCCTGGGCTCTGGAGTGAGGCTGCTTAGAGGGGGGTGATTGGAGAGGGGCTGAGTGCCCTACTCCCAGAAGGCAAATCCCAAAGGCAGCTCTGGCCTGACCTCTTTTTTTTTTTTTTTTTGAGATGGGGTCTCGCTTTGTCACCCAGGCTGCAGTGCAGTGGTGTGATCTTGGCTCACTGCCTCCCGGGTTCAAGTGATTATCCTGCCTCAGCCTCCCAAGTAGCTGGGACTATGGGCACATACCACCATGCCTGGCTAATCTTTGTATTTTTAGTAGAGATGGGGTTTCATCCTGTTGGCCAGGATGGTCTCGATCTCTTGACCTCGTGATCTGCCTGCCTTGGCCTCCCAAAGTGCTGGGATTACAAGCATGAGCCACCATGCCCAGCTGACCTCTTTTTTTTTTTTTTTTTTTTTTTAAGAGATGGGTCTTGCTCTGTCACCCAGGCTGCAGTGCAGTGGTGTGATTATAGCTCACCGCAGCCTTGAACTCCTGGGCTCAAGTGGTCCTCTGGCCTCAGTCTTTTTCTTTTTCTTTTTGAGACACAGTCTCACTCTGTTACCCAGACTGGAGTGCAGTGGTGCAATCTTGGCTCACTGCAACCTCTGCCTCCCAGGTTCATGTGACTGTCCCATCTCAGCCTCCCAAGTAGCTGGGATTACAAGCGTGTGCCACTTTGCTTGGCTAATTTTTATATTTTTAGTACAGACAGGGTTTCACCATGTTAGCTAGGCTGGCCTCAAACTCCTGACCTCAAGTAATCCACCTGCCTCAGCCTCCCAAAGTGCTGGGATTACAGGGGTGAGCCACTGTGCTCGGCCCCACACCTCAGCCTTCTAGGTAGCTGGGACCACAGGTAGGCACCAGCATGTCCAGCTAATTTTTAAATCTTTTTGGTAGAAATGGGGTCTTGCCATGTTGCCCAGGCTGGTCTCAAACTCCTGGCCTCAAGTGATCCTCCCAGCTTTGCCTCCCAAAGTGCTGGGATTACAGGCGTGAGCCATTGCACTCAGCCTGGTCTGACTTCTGTGTAGTCTCTCTCTCTCTCTTTGCTATCCTCCCTCCCTTCCACCCTTCCTCCCTCCCTCCTTCCTCCTTTCTCTCTTAAACAGCTTTATTGAGATATAATTATCATACCATAGCATTCACCTGTTTAAAGTGTACAATGCAATTGTTTTTAGTGTATTCACAGAGTTGTGCAACTGTTACCATAATCTAACTTTAGGACATTTAATCACCCCAAAGAAGCCCCATTTATAGTCACTCCTCATTCTCCCTCCCACCTCCCAGGCCCTGGCACCCCCTCAACTACTTTCTGTCAGTGGAGTTCCTTGGTGAACCCACTGTGAAGAGTGAAGCCAGCCCCAGGTACTGGGGGGGGTTGATCCTGCCCTTGGATCATGCCTTCAGCAAGCAGAATCCCAGAATGGGAGCCGTCCCTTCTAGCTGCCCATTCACTTCCTCGTGGCTATAGCCCTGGGAAGGCCACCAGTCCACCCTCCTCATTTACCCAGGGAGGGGCATGAGACCTAGAACAGGGAGGAAATCTGATCAAGGTCACATCGTGGGTTGGAGATGCAGCTCCTGCCATAGTGCCCACTATCTGCAGCACCCCAAGCCGCCTTCCCACAGCAGTGCCTACACACCCATGGGCCCCCCACTGGCCTCGGTCTCTCCGTCTGTACAATGGGAATAATAACACCTACCACACATGTTGTTGTGGGGATTGAATGAAAGCAAAGGCAATCCTGTGTGTAAGGAGTTTATCCCTGTGCCTGGCATGAAGCTGTCCTCAGCCCATTGCTGAAGTTGAATTAGATTCAGTTCCCATCCTGGCATGTAGGGCCCTGCATATTCTTACTGTTGGGGTGGATGGAAGTTCGTCCCTTCCCTCCCCTGGAAGGTGGCAGGAGGAAGCCACTGGAAGCTCGGGATCCTCGCTGCTTCTTCCCGGTTACCTGGAAGCTGGTGGTGTTGCTGGTGCTGGCGGGAGGGTGACACTGGTGGCGATGACTAAGCACCGAGAGCTGTGGGAGTCTGGTTAATCAGCAGCATCAAAACTTCCTGTTGCTGTTTGCAAATAAGGGCTAGCCCTGGAGGAGGAGGACCAGGGCTCGGGGAGAGGCTGTGCCCCAAAGAACCTCAGCAAATCGATGCTACAGTTCACAGGCAGCAGCAGCAGTGGTGCTAAGGGTTTGGCAGGTGGTTGGGGCTGTGGCTGTGGTTTTCCAGGAGCACGTGTCTTCCCTTATGGCCCCTGTCACCACCTCCCCACGCAGGGGGAATTTTTTTTTTTTTCCAGGAGGAGCTGAATTTTTTTTTTTTTTTTGAGATGGAGTCTTGCTCTGTTGTCCAGGCTGGAATGCAGTGGCCCAATCTCAGCTCACTGCAACCTCCGCTTCCCGGGTTCAAGCGATTCTCCTGCCTCAGTCTCTGGAGTAGCTGGGATTGCAGGTGCAGGCCACCACACCTGGCTAATTTTTGTTTTAGTAGAGACAGGGTTTAACCTTGTTGTCTAGGCTGGTCTCGAACTGCTAACCTTGTGATCTGCCTACCTCAGCCTCCCAAAGTGCTGGGATTACAGGGGTGACACCACGCCCGGCCCAGAAGTAGTAGCTGATTGACTTATTGCAAGGAACCCCAGTGAAGTGCCAGGGTGTGAGAGCAGGAATCATGGTGGTGGTGCCTGATAAGATTCATCCATCTAGGATGGGCCAGCGTGTTGGACTTTGTGGTCCTGAGATGTTCCAGGACTGACCTTGGGAGATGTCTGGCGGCTTAAGAGCAGGCAGAGATTGGGAACATTGAGTCAGTGCTCTCGGCCCCACCTGGCCCGGCCCAGCAGACAGAAACACTCCCAGACTGAGCACCTGGCAGAAGAACCAGACACGCCCCTCTGGTGACAGCCATCACTCGGATATCTTTATATATATGCCTCATGCCTCCCAGGAGAACCAGCCAGGGCGAGAATTCCAGATCCAAGAGAAAAACTGTAAATTAGCGTGAAAAGTAGCTGTCGTCAAAAATGCTGCCAACGACAGTGTAAATTTGGTACAGGCCTTCTGAGGGGCAATCTGGCAACATGTTTAGAAAGTGAAAAAATAATGCTCAGACTCTTTATTCAGAAAGACTTTTTTATGAAGTTGACAACCTCTCTTCTCCCTCTTCTCCCCACACCATGGAATAAACCGGCTGTGTGGGTGGCAATGGTGACAGCAAAGCTGTTTATAAAGTGACAGAAATGGGAGCTCCTCAAATATCAGACCCCATAGAATGGTCAGCTCAGTCAGAGCACAGGCTCACAGTGGAATATTATGCAGCCATTTAAAATAGTTTTTTGCTGGGTGCAGTGGCTTGCACCTGTAGTCCCAGTACACAGGAGGCTGTGGTGGGAGGGTCACTTCAGCTCAGGAGTTTAAGGCTGCAGTGAGCTCTGATCATACCACCTCACTCCAGCCTGGGTGAGAGCAAGACCCCGACTCTAAATAAGTGAATAAATAACACTTTTCAGCCACTTTTATTGAATGCTAGGTGTGCCCCAGACACTGGGACCTCCATTCTGAATGCCGCCTTGGCTTTATCTTATGACATCTGCACTTGAAGAAAGAGCAGGAAAAAGTGACATGGAAAATGCTTATTATAATCATTAAAATTTTTTTTTAGAGATGGAGGTCTTGCTATGTTGCCCAGGCTGACCTCAAACTCCTGGGCTCAAGCAATCCTCCCACCTCTGCCTTCCAAGAAGTTGGGACTACAGGCGTGAGCCACCACGCCCAGCACTTACATGATTCAAAGTAAGAAAAGGCAGAGTAGAAAATTCTATCCAGTCTTTGCCTCCCACTATCACTGCAGCTTGTGTTTGCAGAAACGCCAATTGTGTGCCAGATGCTGGGCTGAGGGTGCTATGTGCTTGCTCTTACATCTCACCATAACTCAATGGGTTAGACACTAGCCCTCCTCCCATTTTTACAGGAGGAAACTGAGGCACCGTGGAAGTGACTGAGCCAGTGACTGAGCCCAAACCCAGGCCTGCCTGGTCCCTGAACCACCTTTAATCAGCCCTCTATACTGTCTCTCCTTAATACAGAAATGACATCAGCTCAAGGTCAGATGCCAGAAAGAAAAATCTGGACCAATGACAATAAATGAAGCGTGGTGGAATTTGCTGTTTTTGTTTTGCTGTTTTTCCCCTCTCTGTTGATTTCTATTAGATTTGTGCAGAAAAAAAAATTTAAGTTCAAAAACTGCCACCAAGAATTTGCAGCAGCTGGGGAGAAGTGAATAAGGAAGTGGGGAAGAGTGGGAAGGACGTTAATAACGTATGTACTGGCTGAGAACCCGGAGCTAGAACCATTTAGAAGCAAGGTGTGAAGCAGTGGAGTCTGTAGCGAGGAGCCGGTGGCTTCCGAGGATGGTGAGAGATCCTGGGGCTGGGAGGCGGGCCGGGGGCGGGGCTTATTTCTCCGGGGCTTCTCTCCAGCGCTGTTGCTAAATCTATTTATTACCTGGTGCTTACGTCCATTATCTCCTCACTGTTTGCATTCCTCCATTATCTCCTCAATGTTTGCATTCCTCTCATTTTTCAGACTATAGGAAATGATAAACGGGGAAAAATCCCCACAAAGCCTCGGTTTGCTTTCAGCCTTGGAGTGCTAGCAGGAAGGGAGTCTCTGCCAAATTCTTCTTGAGTCATAAAGACGCTTTGAGTTCCTCTAATCCGACAGTTAGGGGAGCACTGTCAAGTTCAGTCTTTTTGGCCAATGCAGAAAGGCAGCCACAATTTGGATATTTTAAAGCAAGGTGGTTTTCTTTTTATTTTCCAGTCTCCTTAGAAGGTTTTTTTTTTTTTTTTTTTTTTTGAGACAGGGTCTTGCTCTGTTGCCCAGGCTGGAGTACAGGGACGTGATCATAGCTCACTGCAGCCTCAAACTCCTGGGCCCAAGCCATCCTCCTACCTCAGCCTCCTAAGTAGCTGGGACCACAGGCCTGTACCACTGCGCCCGGCTAGTTATTTTGGAGAGACAGAGTCTTGGTATGTTGTTCAGGCTGGTCTAGAACTCCTGGCCTCAAGCAATCCTCCTGTCTCATGAGCCACTGTGCCTGGCCCTCAAGGTGGTTTTCCTGGAGGGAAGATTGCCTGGTTCTCTGAAAATGGCAGACCTGTTTTCCCCTCTCAACAGCTTCTAGAAAGGAAGGCACACAGGGAGCAGCAAAGTGAGAGGGAGAGAAAAAGGTGAGAAAAATACCATTTGTTTAAATACCACTTAAACGCCTAGTGCCTGCTGAGCTGGGTCTAGAGCAGACAAGGACAAGGGGAATTTACAGTCCAGCCAAGGGTCATCCAAGACCACCATCCCAACATGCCCACTGAAAGCTTGCAGCTGTGAGCCTTGTGCCAGACCCCTGATGTGCTCAGGTTGTCAGGTGCCCAAGACCTACCGTTGGTGAGGTACAAAGCTAAAAACCAAATTCATGCTTATGGGGCTAGGTGCAGAGCCAGGCTTTTCGCCTCCAAGAGCTCCTCCACAGTTTTTTTTGTTTTTTGGAGTGCAGTGGTGTGATCTCAGCTCACTGCAACCTCCACCTCCTGGATTCAAGCGATTCTCCTGCCTCAGCCTCCCGAGTAGCTGGGATCACAGGCATCCGCCACCATGCTGGTTAAGTTTTGTATTTTGGGTAGAAATGGGGTTTCGTCATGTTGGCCAGGCTGGTCTCGAACTCCTGACCTCAGGTGGTTGCCCGCCTCAGCCTCCCAAATTGCTAGAATTACAGACGTGAGCCACCATGTCTGGCCTCCTCCACGGTTCTTTCTGCAGTGCTCATGATTAATGATTTCAGAGGTATTCAGAAGATGTGAATTCAAAAAAGCAGCTAACTGGGTCAGGATTACTTAATATGCAGCTCACTCCAAAATGAGTTTCTCCAACTTCAAGAAACTTTCTGTTAACCAGAAGCATGAGAGGATACACACTTTTCACAGCTGGAGGGTACTCCTTCCTGGCCACATGGAAACAATTGCTAAGAAGCCTTCTCTTGCTTTTTTTTTTAAGATGGAGTCTTGCTCTGTCACCTAGGCTGGAGTGCAGTAGCGCGATCTTGGTTCACTGCAACCTCCACCTCCTGAGTTCAAGCAATTCTCCTGTCTCAGCCTCCCTAGTAGCTGGGACTACAGGTGTGTGCCACCATGCCTGGCTAATTTTTGTATTTTTAGTAGAGATGGGGTTTCACTGTGTTAGCCAGGATGGTCTCGATCTCCTGATCTTGTGATCCACCCGCCTCAGCCTCCCAAAGTGCTAGGATTACAGGTGTGAGCCACCGTGCCTAGCTTCTTACTTCCATTTGGTAGGAATGATCATTGCTTTACATAGGAAGTCTGTTTGGGTACATTTCATGCACCTGTGCTTCCCTTCTGAATTCTACCGGATCTATGGATTTATTCAACGAACATGTCTGCGATACCAGGCCTTGAGCTGGGGTCAGCTGAGGCTTTCCCTGTGATCAAGTCAGGAAAGAGCCCTGTCCTCAAGGAGCAGATGGTATAGACAGGAAAGCCATCATGATTTAGGATGGGGTATGTTGCAGGAGGTGAGCCTGCCTGCTGGTACCTGGGAGGATTAAGGAAGGTGACCTCTAAGCTTGAAGGAGGGACAAGCAGGTATGGAACTGGCCAGGTTAAGGGTTAGTAGAGGCAGATGGGAATGGGGTGAAGGAGAGAGGCCTTCTGGGCAGGGAGAACAACATTTGCAAAGACTCGGAGAAGACTGGATCTCAGGTTAAATCATTTAAAATGGGAAAATCCTGTAAATCTTATCTGTGCTTTACTCTGGGTTGCTATGAGAATCAGATTAAACACAATCTGGTTTTTCATTCCTCTTCTTTCCTTCCCTTTGAGGAGCAAAACTCGGGGGCTCTTGGCCGCTTCTCTGACGAATGCTTGAGTGGTAAGGTGTTTCAGGCCCTTTGAACACAAAGATGGGCCAGGGGCAGTGACTCACTCTTGTAATCCCAGCACTTTGAGAGGCTGAGGTGGGTGGATCACCTGAGGTCAGGAGTTCAAGACCGGTCTGGCCAACATGGCGAAACCTTGTCTCTACTAAAAATATGAAAGTTAGCCAGGTGTCGTGGCACCTGCCTGTAATCCCAGCCACTCAGGGAGGGGGGCTGAGGCAGGAGAATCACTTGAATCCAGGAGACAGAGATCACAGTGAGCCGAGATCGTGTCACTGCACTCCAGCCTGAGTGACAGAACCAGACTCTGTCTCCAAAAAAAAAAAGTCTATGGCCATACCACCCTGAATATACCTGATCTTATCTGAACACAACAAATATGGCGCTACTAGCCCTGCCTGGGGATGGGCTGATGTGGGCATGGAACTGCAGTGTTCTGGACACTGTCTTTTGTCTGGCCCTCCCGGAGACAGCTGTGCCTCTGCCAGAGGTGGGCAGGAAGGGTCAAGGCTGAACTCAAGAGTCCTCCCTCAAGGGTTTAGGACTTCAGTGTTGGGGTGGTCAGGTTTCAGAAAAACTTCCACTTTCCCTGCGGCCAGGAGAGTTGGCAGTTTTCTATATAAATCATCAGCAGAGTTTCTGGGTTAGAAACGACCTTGAAGTTGGTACGTAGTTCCTGGTGACAGTGTACATTCTTAAATTCCAGTAGTTGGGATGGGCATGGTATGGTGGCTCATGCGTATAATCCCAGCACTTTGGGAGGCCGAGGCAGGATGATCGCTTGAGGCTAAGGTTCGGAGACCAGCCAGGGCAACAGAGCTAGACCTGACTCTACACAATATATACATTTTTTAATTGAGTTTGTGCCGGGCACAGTAGCTCATGCCTGCAATCCCAACACTTTGGGAGGCCAAGGCGGGCAGATCACTGAGGTCAAGAGTTCAAGACCAGCCTGGCCAACATGGTGAAACCCTGTCTCTACCAAAAATATTAAAAAATTACTTGGGTGTGGTGGTGTGTGCCTGTAATCCCACTGCACTCCAGCCTGGGCAACAGAGACTCCGTCTCAAAAAAAAAAAAAAAAAAAAAAAAAAATTAAGTCGGCACAGAGACTCACATCTATAATCTTAGGACTTTGGAAAGCAGAGATAGAAGGATCCCTTGAGCCCAGGAGTTTGAGACCAGTCTGGACAACACAGTGAGACTCCCATCTCTACTTTAAAAAAAAAAAAGCTGGCTAGGCACAGTGGTGTGTCTGTAGTTCCAGCTACTCAAGAGGCTAAGGCGGGAGGATCGCTTGATCCCTGGAGTTTGGGGCTATAGTGAGCTGTGATTGCGTCACTGCATTCCAGCCTGGACAACAGATCAAGATCCTGTCTCAAAAATGCAACAACCATGAAACAAGTAGTTTGTACATTTCAAATCAGAGTTTTGCTAGAATTCCAAAAATACATCCTCTTTACACTTCAATTTCCTTTTTCCTTCCCTGGTTCTTTGATCTTTTTTTTTTTTTTTTTTGAGACAAGTTCCACTCTTGTTGCCCAGGCTGGAGCGCAATGGTGCAATCTAGGCTCATCACAACCTCCGCCTCCCGGGTTCAAGTGGTTCTCCTGCCTCAGCCTCCTGAGCAGCTGGGATTACAGGTATGCATCACCATGCCTGGCTAAATCTGTATTTTTAGTAGAGATGGGGTTTCTCCATGTTGGTCAAGCTGGTCTTGAACGCCCAACCTCAGGTGATCTGCCCATCTCGGGCTCCCAAAGTGCTGGGATTACGGGTGTGGGCCCCCATGCCTGGCCTGCTGCTTTGATCTTAATAAGCTCTTATACCCATGTGCATCTGACAGTACTGTGCGGATGTGTGTGCGTGTGCATCTGCATAAACACTTAGACAAGGAAGCAAATAAACACTTAGACAAGGAAGCGAAACTGGGCAACAAGAGCGAAACTCTGTCTCAAAAAAAAAAATAAAAGACAGAACCCACCTGGAGTGGCACACACACACCTATTGGACTCATAGCTCTATCATACGTTGCATTTGTGAACAAACTTTCTGAGGCTCAGTTTCCTTTGCTGAAAAATGGGAATATGACAGTGATGGTGTTCATAGGGTGTTCAGGGTTAAATGGGTGGGATTTTGTTTAGAAAGAGCTTAGTGCCGTGCCTGACGTGTTAGCTTCAATAATGCATCTATTATGTGCACAGAAAAAAAAAAGGCTTCTAAAGTGTTGGCAGCATGTATCTCTAGTGGGTGGGATATGGTTACAATGAACACCTATTACTTTTGTAATCAGTGAAAAAGAACAATAAGTGTTATTATTAATTCAAAAATCTGGCTTTGGCTTTGGTAGGAAGGAACCTGCAGTTAATGTCAATGTCTCAATCCCCGAGGAAGACAAAGCCTCCGGTTTTGAACCAGGACTTTAAGGACAAACATTCTGCCCTACGGCTTATAATCAGGGAGATAGATACTAAATCAGAATTCTAGAGACATTTTGCCTTCACCCACCCTTGCAGTCCCCTGGGTCACTGCTGTTTGGCAGGCAGGCAGAATAATTCAGAGAACATAACTCCCCAAATAAGGCTTTCTCTCCCATTGTGGGGGGGGGGGGTTCTCCGCTGTGGTGGTCTCAGGTAGAAATCTAACTCTCTAGGGAATGATTCCAGGAGCGTGACATTCACCCTCTATCAGGCCTTCACCGAGGAATCTCAGTTGGCAAATAAACCATGCACTAGGCTGCTTCCAGCTGGGGGACTGTGACTGTCCTGCTCTGGCGTCCAGAACAATCTGAGGCCCAGGCCCTTGGCTCCGTCTCTTGACGAGATTCTTGACTGGCAGCCCAGCGCCTGTGCAGCAGCAGGAGACAGAGCCCACCTGGAGTGGCACAACCCCTTCCAGTCTTCTTGCTCTTCTTGGGCCATCCCTTGACAAGCAGGAAGGGGCAGGGTGCCCACCCTCCTGGGATTATCTGCAGAACCATCGGCCTGCCTGGGCTGGCTTCAGAGTGACTGGCTTTCTCCTCTTCCGCACCCGGGGCGTGGGGGGTGAGGGCGAATTTTGCTGCTGGCTCTGGAATAAAATGCTGCCTCTGTTTGGGAGACAAAGAACAGAGTGGCTCCTCCAGTCAGCTGTCTCTCCCGGCTGGCAGGCCCCTGGCCTCCCCCAGGCCTCTTCTGAGGCTCTAGGCACCCCATGAGCAGGGCCTTCTGCGGCCAGGCTGGGGGCTGCTGCACCATGGGTGTGTTTCCACTGGAGCCTGAAGGAATGTTTTACCTTAAGAGACCCCAGGCAGCTTCCTTGCTGGGATGATATTCCTTTGCTGGGGCGGGGCTGGGGTGCAGAGGTAGGAGGTGCTGTGGCTGGGGAGGTGGCCTGGCCAGCGAGTAGGCGGTGGAGCGAGTGAGAGCGTGTGCGCCGTAAAACAGTGTGAGTGCGCCAGCGCGTGCAAGGCCACGGTAAGGGGGGTACATGTACTGTCTGGTAAGAGCGTGTGTGTGCTGGGATGGGAAGAGCCTGTGTGAAGAGTGTATGTGTGAGTACTCGCGTGGAAGTTCTCGGGTGTGAGGCTGTGCACATGGCTCACCTGGTGTGGGGCTGTGTGTGCCGCCTCTTGTGTGCCAGCCCGTGTGCAGGCATGTTTTGTGAGAGCCTTGAAGGAACGCATGAGCACGTGTGCCAGTGCGGGTGCGGGGCGCGGGGAGGCGGGAGAGCCCGAGTGGGAAGCCCCGCGAGGGAGTGCGCGTGGGAGTGGGAGTGCCTGCTGGAGACCATGCGGGGGCGCGCCCGGGCCGGCGCGTGCGCTCGAGTGCGTGAGTGCGGATGCGCGCCGCCGCCCCCCGCCGGGGTCCGAGCTGGTTGCCATGGGAACGCGCCGCGGCCCGAGTTAATCATTTCCTGTGGAAAGTGTGCGGGAGGGGCGCGAGCGGGCGGGCGGCGGAGGCGGCGGCGTGGAGCTGCCTCCTGTAGGCGGGCCGGGCCGGGCCGAGCCCCGAGCGCTGCGGCGACGCCGGGATCCTGCCTCCGCCAGGCCGGTGAGTGGGGGGCCCGGGCGGGCTAGGGGCGGGCGGGGCGCTGGGGCTCCGCCCGGACAGCAGCCCAGCCTTTCGGGGCGCCGCGTCCCGGCCGGCCCTGCCCACTGGACCCCTCTGTCCCGACCCGCTGGGGGCGCGGGGAGGGAAAGGCCCGGGAGACCCAGCCCTGCGAGGTCCCCCGCCAGCGCCGTTCAGCCCCAGTTGAGGACCTTGCTGGGATCTGGGCATGGGGGCGGCGTGTCCCCCGGGATCTGAGCAGCCTCAGGATCCCGTTTGGATCTCATTGAACGAGGAGAGCGCAGACCCTACTCGGGATCGGCTTGTCAATCGGCTCTGCCCCCTCCCCTTCCTGGGGTCTCCCCCACACCCAGGGCTCCCTTGAAGGCTGCCGTTGGGTCCCTCCCACCACGACCCTGGGGAGTTCGCTTTTTCCTGGCAGGGCCAGGGGCGGGGTGCGCCAGCCCAGAGGTCAGGAAGAAGGGCCTTGGCCGGTGCCCTCTGGGCAGTGAGGAATTGGGTCTTTGACAGCCGCAGTTGTGGGGGTCTCAGCAGCGAGGGCGATCCCAGAACCACCCCCTAAGCCCCGCATTGCTAGTTAGAGCAGAACTCTGGCTGGTGCAGTGAAGGGCCTGGTCCTGGGAGATATGAAAGAGGAAGCTGTGTTTAATTAAATTCTGGAGTACCATTTACTGCCCCCTGCCAACCTCCATACCCCAGCACTCTCTCAAGATTGCGGGTTGTGGCCACCTCTGGCCTTTCACCTTCCCTGGCTGTCCCTCTGCCTGAACACGATGAGCACCCACCCGTTCATGTATTCCCCATGCCCTTGTTAAAGTAGCCGTCTCCTTGACCAGGGAGAGTCATTTGCTAGGAATGCAGCCTCAGAATGGAGCCTTGCATTTGCAGTGACTGGACTTTAGGGGCACAGGGTGGTGAGTTCTGCTGTTCATAGGGGCACCAGGGAGCAGAGGGTTTGAAATCTGGGTTGCCCTGGAAAGCCCAGGATAGATGATGGTGAGCAGGGAGGTTGAATTCCCTGTACAACATCCCTCACCTTCTGCCTGCTCTCCCAGGGGGACCAAGTCCTGCCCACTGCAGTCTCTGGGCAGCTGTCCAGCCTGTCCCCCCAATCTTTGCAATGTCCCTGATCTAGGGCAGGGGGAGTACTGCAGGTCTGTCCCCCTGGTCTAAACCCAGAGAGGCAGAGACCCTCTTCCCCAGCCAGCCCCTCTGTATTCACCAACCACTGGAGCAAAGTCACTGAAAAATAAAATTTTAGAGCTCTTAGTATATGCTAGTATTGTTCTGCACACTTTACCTTGTCTAATCTTTATGGCAACCCTATAAGGTGTAGTTCTCCCCATTTCACAGATGGAGATAATGAGGCATGGAGAGGCAAAGTAATTCTCCCAAGTCACACGTCTAGTAAACATTGAGCCAGGTTCTGAACCAGTCCCACTGCCCTCCCTGACGAATCCTTGATTGGGAGAAGTTCCTAGACACCAGGTGTCATTTCAGATGCCCATGTCAACGAGAGAGAGGGCTGCTTTCTTGGTCCAGGACCCTGGGCTTCAGATTCCTTGATACTTTTGCCCCTCACACCCCTGAGGCTACAAACTTCAGCTGCTTTTTCCTCTCCGGGATCTAGCGCACGCCCTTCCTCTTTCTTCCTGATATCTTCCTGGCTGCCTCCTCCGCTTCCCTTCCTGATAACCACAGAAACATTATATCCTCCTGTCCCTGCCCCTCAGACTGAGCTGATCTCCCTGAAAGTCTTCTCTGTCCACTGAGGAGTCAGCCTCCAACACCCGGCACTGTCTCACCTTCCCAGCAGCGGGGCACGCAGATGGACCTGTCTTGCTCCTTCCCCTGCCCATTGGACAGCTGGTCTGCAGGGTTGGTTGTGTGCCCAGCTCTGTGCCAAGCAGCCTGGAGAAGAGGACATTTGGCTGCTCCCCTTGGTTTCTTCCATGCCACACTGGTCCATCTCAGTTTCTTCAGTGGAGCTGGCTCATGTATTGAGATCAGCTTCTGCCCTGTTCTTTGGCTCACATTCCTGTCCCCTTCCCAACAAGACTGCACCCAGGAGCCTCCTGGTTGTTCTCTGTCAAGGAAGGAAGAGACCATAGCTCCCTTGCCAGGTGCCTGGTGTTCTTCCAGAGTTGGGCTCTGCAAACAGCAGATACCAGATCTTCAGGCCCCTCACCCTTGGACTGTCTACTTTTTCTCTTTCTTTCTTTTCTTTCCTTTCTTTCTTTCTTTCCTTTCTTCCTTCCTTTTCTTTTCTTTTCTTTTCCTTCCTTCTTTCTTTTCTTTTCTTTTCTTTCTTTCTTTCTTTCTTTC